AAGGGGTTTTTCGAAAAACTGTAAAAATAACGGTTCGGTGTGACTTAAATCCAGACTGCGGATTGATTTCATGAAAACGCAGGAGCTTTTTTACAAAACGGTGCGACGGAAAGACAGAAACCCTATGTGCTTTATTATTAGGTAGAGACTACATCGTCCTCCCTGCAACAAGTAATGGCGAAGATTGTTTTAAAAAAAAAGTAATGGCGAAGATAAACAATTTTCAGTTGAGCACTGATTCAAACGACGCGACCAGAGACAGGGATCGAAGCCTGCATACGTGCAAAGACATGAAGATGGTCCATTTGGAGCCTCCGGGTAAGCTTGGAAATAGTTTGGGCTGAAACTTAGTTTCTGGATTGGCTTTTGATTTGGTTTCTATAGGTTTGGTCTCTATTGGATTGAGATGGAAACCAGTTCGGTTTGGTTTGGGTTGTGCTTGAAAACGGACTGGATAGGTTTGGCTTGGATTCAGATTTTTTAGTCCAAAACAAGTGCAAACCATGGTTTGAGACCATATCAAGCGATTAGTCTGAGCCGCGCGCCGCATCCACCTCCAGCCAAACTTTCGAGACGCGATCGAACTTTGCTGCTGCTGCCCACACGGCCACACGCACTGCAAGACAGTTCACGTATGTATGTATTCTACGCGGCGAGGGCGTGCATGTGTGGCGACAAAATCGATCAACCTGCCTGTGTGCTAGTCTCCTTGGGCTAGCTTTGCACTCGTACGTGTTTGCTCTCTTTAGGATCCAAGCTACTAGTGTTTCAAATCCAACAGCCGCCGCTACTGGCCGGAGCGGCAAATTTGATAAATTTGACATGTGGATGAAATCAAATCACAGAATGAACTATCCGTGAAACTATTTCACACGGCTGACCTTTTTGTGTAACGCCCGACACGAAGGCGTCACACTACACTGTGCAACGCCTTACAGATAGGCGCTACACGCCTGGCCAACGTTGCATTCCAGACTGTCTAAAATTTTTTAAGTCAGTGTGCAGAGCCTAAGAGCTAGGCGCTGCACTGTATAGTGTGGCGCCTAGCTCTCAAGCGCTGCACTAGTGGTTGCACTACAAAATGAAGCAACCACTAGTGCAACGCCTAGAAGCTAGACGCTAGACTGTATAGTGTGGCGCCTAGCTCTCAGGCGCTGCACACTGACTTAGTAATTTTCGGATCACACGGGTGCGACACTGGCCAGGCGTGTAGCGTCTATCTGTGAGGCGTTGCACAGTGTAGTGTGACGCCTTCGTGTCGGGCGTCACACAAAAAGATCAGTCACATGAAATAGTTTCACGGGCAGTTCATTCTGTGATTTGATTTTGTTCATAGGTCAAATTTGTCAATTTTTGCCGGCCGGAGCCCGTCTGCTGTCACGAGCTTTAACTATAGTTTGACTAGGTTATCATGGTGTGCCCTGTCATGAATCTGTCCATGGTTTGAACCTGTGTGTTCAATCCAAAAGTTGGAAATGGTTTAGACTATGTTGGACGGAGAGCATCTATAGTTTGGTTTGATTTAGATTCTACTTCATCCCTTCGGAAATACTCATCGGAGAGATAGATGTATCTAGACGTATTTTTGTTCTAAACGCATTCATTTTCATCCATTTTTACAACAAGTATTTCCGGACGGAGGGAGTAGATGAAAAATACCGCTATTTTTTTTTTAAATAATACATTTTTAATTAATTTTCATAAATATTATGCTGGATAATTTTTTTAAAAAAATAATACACCGTTGGCCCGCTGCAGGCCGACTGGGCCTAGTCGGCCCACAGCAGGCCGATTGAATTCCAGTCAGCCTACAGCTGGCCGACTGGCCCCTGTCGGCCCACCGTGGGCTGATTGCGTCCTATCGGCCCACTGTGGGCCGACTGGAGCTAATTGGCTCGCTGTAGGCTAATTTTTTTTGCAAAAAAAACTAGGCATAAAAATTATATGTTTAAAAAATGTTAATCATGTAATTAAAAAATGTTAAACGTGTATAAAAAAATGTTCCTGATGTATACAAAAAATGTACAATATATATGCCAAAATGTTGACATAAAAAATATGTTTTCAAAAGTGTTAAGCATGTATTTAAAAATTGTTAAATATGTGTATAAAAATGTTCCTTATTTATACAAAAAATATAGAATGTGTATGAAAAAAAGTTGGCACCAAAAAATTATGTTTGAAAAGTTGACATTTTTTCAAATACATGATTAAAAATTGTTAAATGTGTGTACAAAAAATGTTCCTTATCTATTAAAAAAATATAGGATGTGTATGAAAAAAAGTTGACACCAAAAAAATATGTTTGAAAAAAATGTTCCAGTTCCATACAAAAAGAGCAACCAACCATATTTTTTTTCACAACCTTGATTTATTTTTTGTCACCAACTCACCAACATAATTTTTTGGTGTCAACTTTTTTTCATACACATTCTATTTTTTTTGTATAAATAAGGAACATTTTTTATACACACATTTAACAATTTTTAAATACATGATTGACACTTTTTAAAACATACTTTTTATGTCAACATTTTTGCATATATATTGTACATTTTTGTATACATCACCAACATTTTTTATACATCTTTAACATTTTTTAATTACATGATAACATTTTTTTAAATATATATTTTTATGCCTATTTTTTTGCAAAAACAATTAGCCCATAGCGGGGCAATTAGCTCCAGTCGGCCCACAGTGGGGCGACAGGACCCAATCAGCCCACAGTGGGCTGACAGGGGCCAGTCGGCCAGCTGTAGGCCGACTGGAATCCAATCGGCTTGCTGTGGGCCGACTAGGCCCAGTCGGCCTGCAGCGGGCCGACGGTGTATTATTTTTGAAAAAAATTTCCCAGCGTAATATTTATGAAAATTAATAAATAAAATGTATTATTAAAAAAATTAGCTAATTTTTTTAAAATAATACAATTTTTTTATTAATTTTTATAAATATTAAATTTTTTATTAAACATATATTTTTTATGCTAATTAGCTCCAGTCGGCCGACAGAGGGCCGACAGGACGCAGTCAGCCCACAGTGGGCCGACAGGGGCCAGTCGGCCAGCTGTAGGCCGACTGGAATCCAATCGGCCTGCTGTGGGCCGACTAGGCCCAGTCGGCCTGCAGCGGGCCGACGGTGTATTATTTTTGAATTTTTTTTTATCCGGCGTAATAATTATGAGAATTAATAAAAAATGTATTATTTAAAAAAATTAGCAAACTGTTCATAGGTTTAGACGGACCGCTCGCCGACGCTGACGTGCGGGCCATCGCGCCGTCGGGCACGCCACTCTCTCCCCGGCTCGTTATCTCGGCGAGCAGAGCACCGCAGCGCGCACACGCGTCGCCCGCCCGCCCGCTCGCTCGTCCGGGCGCCTCCTCCGTCTCCTCCGGAATCCCGGATGGCCACCGTCGCCGCCTCTCTCCCGCTCCGGGCCGCCGCCGTCCCGCGCACCACCCTCCGACGCAGCCTTCTTCCCCGGCCACCCGTGGCAGCGCGGGCTGGCGGCGAGGGGCCGGCCCTGGGGATCGGTGGGGTGGTTCCGGGCGGAGGCTCTTCCCGGCGGTGCCGGCGGACCGCCGCGGAGGGAGCCCATGGGACTGTCTGTGATGTTAGAGAAGGCGCTTGTGGATTTTGCGCGAGACAAGCTGGAGTATATTGATATTTGGGTACATAGTCACCCCTCCCTCACCAAGCACTTGCATTGCACATGCACTTTTATTCCTGTTCCTTCCTTTTTTATGTACAACTATGACAACCACTCGCTATGAAATATTTGATAGTTCGGTGTTTGATGTATGAATTGTGCTGTGCAATCCACATTGTTGTGCTTGGAAATTGATAGTTAGCTTACCTTAACTGTTTAAAGTTCATGCATTAAATTGATGGGCTCTGTTATGTCATAAAAATGAAATTGGAATTTCTTCTGAGTTATTTCTATTGATGCAGATCAACAATGCCGGATCAAATGCATATAGTATTATAGTTACAAACCATTGGTGGAAACCTCTGATGAGGCTCTAATGTAATTCTCTATCTCTATATTGGCAAGGCTTGAACATGCACACCTTCATTCAGTCGTACTTTCGAGTGCCAATAGTTCATTGACTTTTTTCTTTGATTTAACAGTGAGGTGATCACCACTAACACTCTTGGATTGATGCTATGTTGTCGTGAGGTATTGCTTTCCACTCAATATTAGATATTTGTCGTATAGCATGGTGACTGCTGAAGAATTCCAACACTCATCGTCTTGCTATCTTAGGCAATAAATATGATGTGGAACCAACCTCGAGGTCGTCACATATTTAACATTGATGATGGAAGGCCAACCCCAAGGTACCATTTCCATTTGTTCTCATATGTAGTAATTCTGGATACTCAGCTGAGTGTGCTGTCACATGATTTCGTTTAACTGCTCATATAGTTTGAATCTGTGGAATTGAACATAGTTTGATATATCCTGTTCTTTTGACGCTGATATAAGTATCTTCTTTCGTTCTTCTCCACATGTGTGCATTGTACTTGGCATACTGAATTTGCATGGCCATATGGCAGTTATTTGTATTAAATGAAAGTTGTGCACAAAACGAAATACTAAGGAGACAAACTCAATCATCTTTTGGTAACTACTCCCTCTGTAAAGAAATATAAGAGCGTTTAGATGACTAAACTAGTGATATAAATGCTCTTATATTTGTTTATGGAGGGAGTACTAGTCTTGAATTCTAGGTAATCATTATTATAATCACCAGGTTTGCAGCTTATGGTGCAACGAAGAGAAGTGTGGTGCACCTTACAAAGTCTCTACAGGTAAAGGTAACATGTGTGACGATTTAACCTGAAATGATTAGTTTCTGTTTGAGCAGTTCCAATGAAGCATTTTGAAATAACGAACTCTTTGCTGTATTGTAACCTCATGAAATTGTCGATAGACCCGAAGCACAAACATTCAACAGTACAATGAGATAACTACTGTTTTATCAATATTTAGAGTCATGTTAAATTCCCAAGTAGTTGCTCCCACAAACTCATATTTGGGACATCGTAAAGCTGTAATCATCCATAGAGAAAATAATAGGCGATTTATTGCTATGTGCTTGAACTTGGTTCACTGGCACAAATTTTTATTAAGTTTACATTTATTTCCAGAAAAACAACAGAGCCTTTTGTCCCAAGCACATTGGGGCAGGCTAGAGATGAAACCCCACAAAAACTGTGAGAACCCAAAAGAGAAGACAGAAAGTGCAAACAAGCAAAATAAATCAAGGCAGTAAAGTATACTGGTGCAGGTCACAGCTTTGCAGCTTTATTAGAAACTATGTGGAGAAGATAACATGATTCTTATTGCAGGCTGAGTTGCAGATGAATGAAGTGAATAATGTCGTGGTGCATAATTAATCGGTATACAGCTCCACCCTTTACCGAAAAAGGGTTTCCCCCCGCTTTGTATTCCAAAGCACCAACACCGATACAGAGCAGACGCTGGGGCGAGCAGCACAACAAGCCAAAGACAAAGAAAAGGAAACAATGCCAACACCGGCAGCTCGACAGACGCGGATGACCTACAACCGCTGCGCCCTCCGAAATCTACCCTAGGTTCCGATCCTCCGAGTACCAAGCAGCACCTCCAGGAAGGAAACGACGCCGACGACGCTGCTGCCTGGACGTATCCTAGGGTTTCCCCCGGCACACGGAGGGTAGAGGGGAATGAAGACCACCGGCACCCTCCAGGGAGGAATGGTGGCACCCGCAGGCGTCACCGCACCGGAGCCGGAAGATCCGGCAAGGATTTCTCCCAACTCCAAACCCCACCGCCCAACCGGATCGAAGCCAACCAACCAGTTCGCCGTCCACCACCTTGCGCCACCACGGTTGCGCCACCACCCATGCCGCCTCACTGCGAACGCCACCACGAGGCCAAGAGACCCGAAGAGAAACGCCAAACGACGGAAGCAGCGGCACCGCAACCGAGCAGGAGGGACCCACCTCCCCCGCCAACGTGCGCCCCATCACCGTCGCGGTCGCCGGCCGGACGCGGCAGCAGGGCACACCAGGCCACCCCTGGCCCGGCCGGACCCAAACGGGCCCGCAAAGCCCCGCCGTCCACGCTGCAGCAATTCGGATCCGCGTCGCCAGCCCGCCGCCGCTCGCCGCCACGCCCCGGCCTCCTGGAGGTCGCGCCGCAGGCTCACCCCGCCG